TCTTCTTCTTCTTCCTTCGCCTCCTCCTCCTCGTCTTCGGCTTCTTCTTCCACCTTCTCTCCCTCCTCCCCCTCCGTCGCCGTGGTCTCCGCTTCCTCCACCTCTTCTTCCTCCTCCTCCTTTTTCTTCGTCCTCCTCATACTCCTCCTCGTCGTCCTCCTCCTCTTCCTCCTCGTCTTTCTCCTCGTCCTCTTCTTCTTTGTCCTCCTCCTCCTCCTTCTCCTCCTCCATCATCAGGGCCTCCTCCTCCTCCTCCTCCTTCTTCGTCGTCGTCCTCCTCTTTGTCTTCCTCCTCGTCCTTCTCCATCGCCACGGCCTCCTCCTCCCCCGCTTCTTCTTCTTCCTCCTCGTCCCGCCAATCCCTGTCCCCCTACTCATCGTTCTCCTCCCCATCCTCACCGATTCGATAACAGCCACCTCCTCCCCCGCCTTTTTTTTTTTTTTTTTTAATCCGCTCTTCTTTCAATCAATCAATCAATCAATCAATCAATCAATCGATCAATCAATCGAAGATCCCATCGAATCGATTGATTCGATAGGATCTTGACATATCAAGATCCTATCGAATCGAATCGAATCGATTCGATGGATTCTTCGATCAATCGATTGATCGATTGATTTGATTGATTGATTGATTGAATGATTGATTGATTGATTGATTGATCGGACAAAAAAAAACAAAAACAAAAAACGGGGAAGGAGGAGGTCATTAACAAAAACAAAAGACGAGAAGGAGGACAAGGATTGGTGGGACGAGGAGGAAGAAGAAGAAGCTGGGGAGGAGGAGGCCGCTACGATGGAGAAGGACAAGGAGGAAGACAAAGAGGAGGAGGACGACGAAGGAGGAGGAGGAGGCGGAGGAGGAGGAGGCGCCGACGATGGAGGACGAGGGGGAGGAGGAGGAAGAAGAGGTGGAGGAGGAGGAGGTCACGCCGATGAAGGAGGAGGGAGATAACTTGGAGGAGGAAGAAAAAGTGGAGGAGGAGGAGGAGGAGGAGGAGGAGGAGGAGGAGGAGGAGTGGGAAGAGGATGAGGAAGAAGAGGAGGAGGAGGAAAAAGAGGAGAAGGAAGAAGAGGAGGAGGAAGAAGAGTAGGCGGAAGAAGAGGAGGAGGGCCCGACGATGGGGGAGGAGGAGGAGGTGGAGGAGGAGGTGGCCACGGCGACGGAGGAGGAGGAGGAAGAAGAAGAGGCGGCGGAGGAGGAGGAGGAACAAGGAGCAGAAGAAGACGAGGACGAGGAGTAGGAGGAGGCCCCGACGGAAGTGCAGGGCGAAGAGGCTGCGGCGGCGGCGGTGGCAGCGGGGGAGGAGGTGGAGGAGGAGAGATGACGAGGATGGGGAGGAGAATGAGGAGTAGGAGGAGACCCCGACGATGGTGGAGGAGGAAGAGGAGGAGGAGGAGTGGGAGGGGGCCGAAATGATTGGCCACCCGATCACTCCCCCGGCCCTCCCCGCTCTTTTCTCAATCAATCAATCAATCAATCAATCAATCAATCAATCAATCAATCGATCAATCGATCAATCGATCGATGGAAGATCCCATCGCATCGATTGATTCGTCGAATCGATTGATTCGATGTCAAGATCCTAATCGAATCAATCGATTCGATGGGATCTTCGATTGATTGATTGATTGATTGATTGAAAGAACAAAAAAAAGAAAAAAAAAAGCGGGGGAGGAGGAGACCGTTATCAATTCGGTGAGGATGGGGAGGAGAACGACGAGTAGGGGGACAGGGATTGG